GGCTCTCCCGGATTCGCGATGCGGTTTCTGGATGACAGCGCTCTGCAGGCTTGTGCTAAGCGCAATCGTTTTGAGGACCCCGCTATCCTCAGTAGATTGCGCCTCTCCGGCCTTCCGGTGCACACAGGCCCAGCAGGAGCCATGGCTCTGCTGGAAACCCGTGGATGGAAGGTGCAAGAAATCCTGTATTTCAATGAGAAGCAGTGTGTCTTCCATGCTCTTTCGTGTGGAAGCTGTGAACCCATGTTTTTTCGGCAGCCAGGAGGACACAAGAAACGGCTTACGTACAAAGCTCTCAACGCCTTGGCCCGAAAACAGCAGGAGGAGCACAACAAAGGTGTTCGTGCGGCAGCTTCTGGCGCTGCTTCCTCGGAGGGCCCTTTGGTGCCCACCAGACCGGCGCAAGCAGTCGCAAGGCAGGAGTGGTTTGCAAGCAGATGCCTCGCATGCCTGCACGGCAACAGCGAGCTGAGACGCCGGAACCCGCGCCGAAGCGTCCTCCGGACGGCCCCACTGGCAACTCGCCAGACCTCACGGGGCCACGACCCAACTGACGGCTTGCTAGCCGGCAGGGTTGCATGGCAGCTTTGCAGTCTCACTTTTATTTTTGCTCGCATGTGGTTCCTGTCTAACAGGATGCGCAACCGTTTTATGCATGCCACGCATGGTTAAGCCTGTCACGTGGCAGCAAGGGTCACCTTGCAAGCGCTTTCACCAGGAGAACCGCCTTAACGCGGTTCAGATCTTTATCGCTGACGGGAGCCTCAGTGTTTTCATTTACGGTCTTTATTCGCCCAGCGGCAGTCGCTGGGAGCCCGCCAAAAGGCGTTATTTACATGATTTTCTCTCCGCATTGCAGGAAGATCTTGTGCAGCGCGGCCCTGTCTGCGCCCTCCTGTTAGGAGATGTAAACGTGCCAATGAGCGAAGATCGGGCCCTACAGAAGTGGGAGCGAGAGGGTCCATGGCACGATTGTCATGGTTTCGCTTCGCCACCTTTTCAACACGCCCCAACTTGTTTGCAAGGACAAGGCTCGCGCATCGACTATGTCTTTGCGTCTTTGCCGGCTTATGATTTGGCCGAAAAATACACTGTCACAACACATAAACTGTTTAGTACACACTCAGCTGTGAGTATCTGCGGGTGCCGCGGCCAACGCAGGTTCGTAGGGCGTTTAGGTCAGTTGCGACTGTTCCGCCCCTTGTGCCGCCCACCCCTAATGATAAACTTTTTGCCCCTAAGCTACCAGACGCCTTTGCCAGCAGTCTGCAGAGTGCGGATCTTGACCAAGCCTTCAGCATCTGGTCGCGGCTTGCAGAGGAGACGTTGTTCAGCATTGCTCGCCGCCAGGGGCACTTTCTGGATTCCTCTACCACAAAAAGGGGTGAGATCAAGTACCAAGAGGTCCGTGCACATCCGGCTGTTTGTGATGGACAAGCAACAACGCTACGTGATCGCAAGCTGTGCAAGGCCATGTGTCGCGCACAGGAGGCTGTTAAGGCTGCGCCGGGCTACCGGAGAGACAGAACGTGGCACTTGCTCAGTGAAGTGCTTGTGAATACCTCCCTGAGCCTCAGCTAGATGAGGTTCGGCGTATACGCTTTACCTGCCAGTGCCGCGCAGGGCGAGCAAGTTTTAAGTCGGCTACGGTCCGCTTCAGCCACACTGGCGGCTCGCAATAAGAAGGAGCGTATTGATCACTGGAAGCGTCGTATGCGTTCTAAGGACACGGAGGGCACTGCGTGGGTTCGTCGTCAAGTTGCGAAGCCAATGGCGCCTGTCACTCAGCAGCGGGGCGAAGTCACTGCGGCCAGTGGCCGCCGCCTGGCGTCAGTCCAAGACGCTTGGGACAGTATATTCAATGCTCATCAGCTTGGTGAGCCTTCTTTACATGCGTTTATGCAGCAGTATGGTCCTACGCTGCGCCGTGCCGTGTGTAGCCTTCCGGCTCTGAGCGGCCACCATCTGCGACAGCATCTGGCTACATGCACAAGTGCACTAACTAGCCCCGGACCCGACGGTTGGGCTTACAGTGATCTGCAGCCCCTTGCACTTTGGGCACCCGGCCTTTTTGATGCGCTCGCCAGCTTGCTCAACGCAGTTGAGGCCCTCGGCAGATGGCCCGTTTCGCTTATTCGCGGAACTGTTTCTTTTATTCCAAAGGAGAGTCAAGAAGATTTTCCCACTCCGCTTCAGCATAGGCCTATAACTGTACTTTCTTCACTCTATCGTTTATGGAGTGGAGTTAGGCATGGTCAATTGGCGGAGCATTGGCAGCCGCTCTGGCTGACTGATCGGACGTTTGGTCTCAAACGTGGCCCCGCGGCAGATGAATTAGTTTTTCGCACGTGCTTGGAACTGGCTCAATCCAAGCATGAAAAGAAGCTGCAAGGAGGTCTCTCCTATGATTTTCAGAAATGTTATGATTTGGTGCCATGCCGCTTAGTAGTTAACCTGTTTAGGTGCAGAGGCGCTGACACGGGCGTGTGCCGTGCGCTTGATGGTTTTTATAGTGCGCATGAGAAGATTTTTAAGTTGACGGCTCGGTCAGCCGCCCCTATAAGCCCAGTAACGGTTTAGTTCAGGGTTGCCCCCTTAGTATGTTGCTGCTCAGCTCGCTTATACAAGCCTGGCACGAGCATATGAAGAGCCAGCAGCCGTTAGTTGATACTAAATCATATGCAGACGATATGTCGGGCACCGCTGCATGTTGCCGTAAGGCTCAGCTGGTTTCAGTCCTTGCTGACACGCACCAAAGGACCATTTTGTTTCTCCCAGCTTTCGGGTCTTCGGATTGGTGCTGACAAGAGTTTTTCGTTTGGAGACACCGCTCTTCAGGGGCGTTTGCCAGGCCTGCGCGAGCACAAGACCGAATTCCGCTTGACGGGGAGTTGCGTCAAGCTTACACCCGCTATAAGAGATGGACAACCCTAGAAAAGTCGCGTGCTGATGATTGGTCAGGCACGGTGCGCCTCATTGCCAAGCTTCCGTATGGTTGGTTTGGCAAAGTACATAAAATCCGACAAGTGATGCCGAAGCTTACGTATGGTCAAAGCACGCACTTACTTGCTGCCTCTTGGCAGTCGCTACGCACTTTGCGTGCTACTTGCATCCGTGCTTTGTTGAGTGATGAGCATTATACGGCCTCGCCTTTCATGATTTTTGCGCTTTTGGCGCCTCCTTCCTTAGAACCCGAATATGAGCTCCAATTGGCTGCTTTGAACCTTTTCCGCAGGGCCTTGAGGCAACACACTCGGCGCGCCGCCTTGCAGCAGGCGCCTGCTGCTCACAGTCGGTCCTCAGACGGGCCTGTTGCCCGTGCCCGTCAACTACGTGACTGTCCGGTTTTCGGCCCCGTCTTCCGAGAAATTCTCGCAGGCCTCCAAGCCACTTGGCAACACGACCTCAGGGAAAGATGGAGAGGCCAGGTTTTTAAACGTGTGGCTAGGGATAGGTCACAGCACTTCGCTGGCGCGCAACGTGGCATTCAGCGAGATATCGTTTGCTCGCTCCTTAGATTATGGACGGAGCAAGCTGATAGGTTGCAATTCTTAGTAGATCAGGGTTTAGTCCTCCAGCCCGACCCCCGGCACGATGTTCGGCCTCGTTTGAAGGTCCTTAGGCTTTTATTGACTGCTGGTCTTATGAACCCTGATAGGGACCATAGACACAGAAGGGTGCAGAAACAGGCTGTGTGCGCCTGCGGCGCTACACCGGACCTTGAACATATATATCTTGGAGATGTCCAGTGTATGCCACGCTCAGAGCGCCTGCTCTGAAACATCTTCCGCAGCAATTGCATAAGCTCCCTCCCTGTTTTCGTGCTTGCACGTTAGTGCCCAAAGGTATGCGCGTCAGGGTGCATGATTTATTTGTGATACAGTCTTCGCTTGTTGATGTGTGGCAGGCCCACACCGAGTCTTGGAATCAGGCCACGGATGGGATCTTCTCTCGGATACCAGGAGACCTTGCCCGCTGCTCAGAAAGGGCATGTCTTGCGTACCACTGATTCGGGCTCCACGTTTTGTGTAAAATGTGGGCGCCAAACACAATACTATAAGCATGTTCGGCTTAAGATTTTAAAAACACCCTGTCCGCACGCTGACCTACCGGAGCATAAGTGGCTTTCTATGCCGGGCCGTCTCATGGCCGCTTCGCGCTTGGACGAGCAAGAACGCCATTTGCACTCCCTTAATAAAGGTGGGCACGTTTTGCATTGGAATAGGTTAGTGGGTAAGTCGCCCCAAAACCTGGCTTCCTATGGTGAAGTTTACTGCTCCCATTGTGACAAGCGATGGGCTTGGAAGTACAGACACCACGCTTTCCGAACCAGCATTTGCAACCCGACCTCTCACACTCACAATCCTCCTGCGTGGTACCAAGCGGTGCCCGCCCCAGCTTCTGCGGGTGCGCCTGCACCACCTGCTGCTCCTGCCAGTGATAATGCTCCACGGCGACGCTTTAGGCGTAAAGCCGCGCTGATCGGTACTCAATTGGTCGACAACAGACATGGCTCTGAGGCCCCCACCCCAAGAGAGGTTGGGCCTCAAGTGATCAACAGAGCCAGAAGGAGGCTTCGTCATAGACGTAAGTCCGCCCGGCATGACACGACCGTTTTGCATTCACATGAGTTTTCACTCCCGCAGCCTCCGTTACAGATTTCTGAACGTCCAACAGGATCTCGAGACATCCCCAGGATGGGTGTGGGCTGACGCACTTGCCACAAGAGGGGCACCGCCGCATGCGGCACCGCTCTTCCAAGCCTCTACTACTTCTGGGATCCAGCAGGCTCTCCGGCGCCTACATCTACGTTGGTGGCACGCATACCGGTGGAGCTGACGTGGATGGCGAGACAGTGCGTGCCAGGCTTTTGTAGCGCAACCCAGAATGTTGTGATCAACATTACCCTTAACATCTTGTTTGATGTTTTCCTTGGTGCCTGTCTTGGCGTAGTTTACATGTGGTACATTACTTCGTCAATGTGCAACAGAGTGATGCACATGGTCTATGGCAACATGGGTCAGGGCCGTAAGGGCAAAGGTAAAGGCGTCAGCAAAGGTGACGCCAAAGGGAAGAGTAAGATCGGATCTGATGCCCGCAGTGATGCAGCGACACCCACTGTTCCCGCGCTTGCGCACTCGGCGTCAAATGTGCATGATGTTTCAGCTGATGTTCGCTCGGTCATACCGCAAGCGGCCATTCTTCGAGCACAGTCGCAGCTTGTGCAGGATGATTGGAGCGTTCCCGTCTTTTCTTATCAGACATGGTCTTCGCGAGGTGGAGTTTCCGCTGTCCCAGTTGATCGCATCGCCGAGGTCGTTCAACGGGTTGGGTTTACTTCGAATCCGGTGGCTATCCGACTATCCTCATTACACGTGATCCTGATAGTGTCGGTCTCCGTGGTTATCCTCGCCAGAAGGTTCGTTGTGGACTCAGTGTCATGGGCAGTGAGGGCTTCCGAACTCATACCGAGGTTGATCGCTTTATGGTACATGCAGTTGGGATTCGGTGAGGCGGTTCATCAACACATGCGGGGCGCTGAAGTCTCTCTGCTAACACCATGGTCAGAATGATTGTCAAGCTTCCTGAGCGTCATGGATGGCCAGCCGGTCCACATCCAGCATCAGTCATCATTTCCGAGGTTTCGGCTTACGCGCCCGAGGCAGCAGTGTCCGAAATCACTCCTCGTGAAGGTCCTTCAGCCAGCTTTCTGCTGCATTCCGATTTCGTGGATGTCCTGCTTAAAAACTCAGGTAAGAGGGGAACCTTTTTCAAGACCGGTGAGGGTGTTGACATGGAATTGTTGTGGTTGCCGGAGGGCTTTGATCTGGTGCGCGCCATCAAATTGGCCACTCATGATACATGTTATGGGGTGGTGGAAAAAGGAGGTGCCTTTCACCCGCGGTATGCGATCCGGTTCGATCCCTTGAGGCTCTCCGCTCGTTCGCCAAGGCCAACAATATCGTGGACCTCAGCGCTTTTGGACTGTGGAAATTGTCGGGGATTCACGCCTCCACGGGCTTGCGTGGCGTTGCTGTTCTATTGCATCAACTCAAATGGTTGGATGTCCAGATTCTTTTTCTTACTGAGGTTCACTCCGTATTTCTCGCATCCAATCGTGGGTGGGATGATCCTGCTTTCTTTCGTCTGCATGGTACTTCGCGGCAGCTCATCTTCAAGGCTCTTAATTCCCAGGCGTGCGGCATGGCCCGAGACGGTAATGCACGCAGCTCGGATGTTGTGGAGCCCAAAACCCCAGTGCGATCCTTGGCATCCTCGCGGAAAGGTCAATCGGATTTTCTGGCTAAGGTGTTTCCCGAGGGTGTGCCCAAATCCGATGAGAAAGATGCGCCGGACCATGAGAAACGTCAGGCAATCGATCCTACAGGTGAGACTCCCGAAGCCCAGAGGCGACGGGAGATGTAATCATGCGCAATTCGTTTCACAAGGTATTCTTCACTGCATGATGGGAGCTCTTTGTTTGGGTGTCAATCTTTACATGCGGATGGTCAATGGCAACACGCGACCTCTCCGTATTTGTTATTTGAATGCTGATGGAGTTATGGGCAAGACTCGCGGTCATGCAATTTCGGCGTTGCCCGCTGATGTTATCGCTCTTTGCGAAACTCATCTCACACTACCGATCTGCTTAAAATTGTGGATGGTTCTTTTCCTCGCTTTCGGCCCCTTTGGGGCGCCCCTTCCCAAGCCGGTGTCGGCTTTCTTGTTCGTGATGCTGCCGTTTGGGCGGTTCGTCCCATTCAGTGGCCGGCTAATTCGCCGTGTCATCGTCACTTGGTTGCGGAACGGTTACATGGTATTTCGTTGCATTTGGGCAAGGGCAAAAAGCAGTTACTTTGCTATGTCATTTACGGTCACAGCGGTGTGCGTTGGAACTCCCATCTCAAGAAGCGGACACATAATATTGTGGAAGCCGTATTGAGTGATGCTGCTTCACGTGGTTTACCCGCTCTATTTGGTGGTGATATTGATTTGGAGGTTTCCGACTCTGACTTGTTGCAACGGTTGCCGCAACTTGGATGGTCCCTTTTGGCGGATGCTGTGGGCTTGGGACAAGCTCCTACTTGTTTCAAGGGTGGTGGCAGCGTTATTGTTCACATGTATTGTAACCAACTTTCGCTGGCCTCGTTTACCTCCTTTTTCCATGGCGATCGTACGCATCTTGCGGATCACAATCCTGTATTTGGCCACTTTGACGTTGGTGTCGCTTCTCAGGTGGTTTTTCGGAACCGCAACTATGGTAATCATCCTGTTCATGGTCCTTACGTGCCTCTTTCCGGCAGGGTCTTTGCAATACATCACATGTTTAGTTTTTGTTTACAGCGTGGCGATGTGGACTCGGCTTTTCGGTATTGGAATCAATACGCTGAGAAACATCTTGCAGCCATTGTGGCGGCTGTTAACGACAATGGCACTTTTCAACATGGTCGTGGGACTGTGCGTGTTGATCCGCAGCCCTTGTGGCCGCCTAGTCGGTGCGGTGATGTCGCTTCTCTTGCCGTTCGCCGCTTGTGGAAGCCATGTTGCCGTATGGTGCAGCTTCAGAAGCAAACCTTTGGTGAGCTTGCGCGCCGCACTTGGAAAAATGCTGGTCGTCGTTTGTCCGACTTGTCGCAGGATGAGCTGGCCGAAGCGCGGCATTTGCTATCTGGTCGTTGCCTTTTGGAGTCTGTGGTGCGTCTTCGTTCCATTTTTGAAAAACGCCACTGTGAGGGTCCAGCGCGAGCAAAAGCATGCTCGCATTGCGTCTTGGAAAGCGAAATTAAGCTCTGTTCGTGCAACACACTTGGCTTCGCAATGATGGTGTCGTGGATGGCTTTTGTTTTCAAGGTGCTAACGTTGCGGAACAGTTTGAGGCTGTGCGTGAGGCTTGGAAAGCAGTTAGCGAGTTGTTCAAGGATGGGGAGCCTGATCATGCCGAATTCTTTCGGCAGTACAGTGGTTATATTGCGCCGCATCAAGTTGATCTTCCGGAGTTATCTGCTGATATGCTGCGTCAGGACATTCTGTCTGTAAAGGTCTCCAGCCCCGGCCTGGATGGGTGGTCATATCCTGATCTCAAGATTCCAAAGAGTGCAGACCCTGTTTGTTCGCCAACGGACCTACGCCCGATAACAGTGCTTAGCAGCATTTATCGTGCTTGGGCCCGTATTAGGGCCAGACAGTTGGGCAAGCATTGGCAAGATGGTTGGGCTCATGACGGTATGTTTGGTGGTCGGCAAGGGCGCAGTTGCGAACCTCTCCTTTTTCAGGTCGCCTTGGATTTGGAAGGAGCTTCTGCTGATGCTCTTGTGGGCGGTCTTTCCTTTGATCTTGCTACAGCATTTGACAGGATTCCGAGAGAACTGCTTGGCCACATCTTGCGTAAAATGGCTCTTCCTTGTTGCGTTTTACAGCCGTACCTTGAGATGTTGCGAACTGCCAGTCGTCGGTACAAGTTGGGAGTGTGCCTGGATCAGGCTCAACCCGTTTACGGGGGGATACTCCAAGGTTGTCCTGGTCCTCTTTCCATGATTGCTTTAAATGCAACCATCAATATATGGTTGAAGGCGTTGACTGCAGAGGTTCCTGGTTGCAAGCCTCGTGCTTATGCTGACGATGTTTCCGTTACTACCTTTTCATCTCGGAGGGGCGAACTTATTGGGTGGACGTATCTCGTGACGAGGGACGAGTTACGTCTATGTGTGCTAGCCCGTGGATCTTCCCACCGAAATCATCGTAGGTGTTTCGGATAGAAACGAAGTTTCTACTGCTATCTATTGCTCTTGCTGTGAGTGTCAGTCTGCAAGACATGGATAGCATGACTTGGAATGGCGAGGAACCTTGTGCATTTCCGTGGCCATTCTGGATAAAGTCCCCCATTTGGGGGGTAATTTTGAAGTACCCACCCAACCCACTCTGGGGAGGGCTAGCCAAACGCTAGAGGCAATCTCCAGGCTAACTGGGATTTATGCTGCCACATCCACGAAAAAGGAGAGTCGTCGTGCGCTACTGCTTGTTAGCTCGCTGTCGTTACTCGGCTAGTACGACTACTCTAGCTAGTCCCTACTTGGAGGTTGTAGGGGATGGTGGTGGGCTAGATGGGCTAGTGCACCGATTCGGTTTTTCAGGTATCTTCCACGTTCGTGGCTGCCATTGGTGGATTGATTAATCTTCCGAAGAGTCTTTCGTGTGGGAATCAGTGTCTTGATGGCAATGTTTCGATTTTGGCACACAGTACATCCTTCAGACTCATTGGGGGGTCTATCGCTATTCGCGATGGTGGCACGCATGCTGCTACCGCACTTGAACTCAAGCGTCAATCGAAGTGGGCGGCTACTGTCAGGCGGGCACGACACTTGCCTTTTTTGGTCGGACCGCTGTGGTGCTCTTCTTCGGCACGGGCACTCACTGCCTTCCTGAGACCTCGACACACCTGAAGAGTTTGGAAACTCTTCGGTCTGACGTCATGCGATGTTTATTGCGGCGTTTTGGTTACGTGGCTAGCCCGGGCATGTATTTTTCGCTGGTGGCTTCCCCTGTTCTGAATCCTTACTTTTCGAGGGTGATGGATGGGCTTTTGGTTGCCTGGAGGGCCATGAAGTTCGCTGGCAACCGCGTGCAAGTCAAAGATTTGTTTTTCAATGGTGACACCTTCAACGATGGTCCTGTTGCACGGCTTCGTCAAGTGGATTCCTTGTCCTGTTTTCGTGGTACGGTGGCGTCCATGTTGGAGATACCGGATGATGACTTCGGTACTTGGTTGCACGACAGTCGCGAGGTTTGGCGGCGCGACCAGTGGCGCAAAGTTGCTCGTGACCATGCGGTCTTTCAAGGCATCGAAAAAGGTATTCTGAAAGATGTCACTTTATGTTACCTTCGTCAGTTGGAGCAGCAAGGATGGTCCGGCCCTTTTGACAATGGCACGTTTGCTCATGAGCAAGCTCGTATGAAGGCGGCAGTACTTCGTTTGTTGCTTACAGGCGGCCTTTTTACCAGGGACATGGTGTCACAGCGCAAAACCAAGAAAGAAACTGTCTGCGATTGTTCTGTTGGCGGCCCTGCTGACGTTTTTCATGTCTCATGGAAATGCGCTCATTATGCTTCTCTTCGCGCTCCCATCAGCCATTTGTCTCGACGTCTATGTCGCAGCAAGTCCTGCTTTCATTTTGCCACTATTGTGTGTGAAGATGACGCTGATGTGGCTACGGACGTTGTTCTTATCCAGACAACCCTTGTGAACATTTGGCAGGCAAGTGTCAAGAATTACCTATATGGTGATTTGGGACCTGGGGTGCGAGGTTCTGCAGAGGTTGTTGCTCAACCTGCAGTTGAGCCGACGGGCGAAGATGCCATTTTGGAAAACGGCCATCATATCGTTGCCATGATGGGTGGTGGCGTTTGATGCCGTAAGTGTGGTACGTATGTGCGGGAGCCCAAGCATCGGAGACTCAAGATCTCTTGCAAACAATGTGCACAGAAGCTCAGTACACCTTCATCCCAGAACTACCCTCATCGGGCTTTAGACCTGTACAAGACCACATTGGACATTGCCAATGGCCATGACTTGGCATGAAATGCTTCCATGGCGCGGATTTCACTTCATGGGGAGCTACGGTGTCTGCGGTGCGCTCGTGTTTTTCGTTGGGACAATCGACACAATGTTAAACGCCAGTCTTGTCAAGGTGCCAAGAAACGCAGATCTCCTACTCCACCAAACTGGGTTTCTCCTCGGATGTATCGTGATGATTTTTCCACTGCTTTACAGCGCGTTATTAATGCCAGTGAAGCGAGCAACAGGGATGAATCACAATCTGCAGATACCGCTGTTGAGATCCGCACCTGTCGTTGATCTGCTACATCTACGCAGGCATGACTGCTCGAGTGTGTCGCCGGCGAGGCCAGCTCAGCGACGCTTTCGCAATGTCTACAGGAGTACGTCAAGGTTCCATTGAAGGGCCAGTGTTTTTTTTGCTTTATTTTGCGGTGGTCGTGAAAGTTTGGCGCAAACGATGTGATGATGCTCTCGGACCAGCCATTGTCGTCCCTTGGCAGTCTGTTGTAGATGGAACACGCAGGCTACCGACTCACTTGCGCCGCTGCACTTCCAGGGAGCACGGCCTTCTCGAGACTCAGTCGTTGCAGATGGCACGGCTATTTTGCCACCGGCTGGCGTGTGCCTGCCAGATGTCCAAGCTTTTTCACCAGACATTGAGTGATATGGGTGGCCTTCTGAATGCCAAAAAACCGAGTGGCTCGAGCCCCACTCCTTCGCTAGCGTTCCCGAGGCAGCTGCTCTTCCAGGTACCAAAATCCTGACAATAGCAGATCAGCCGATCAGCAAAACCGCGCAATCTGAATACTTAGGTGCTTTATTGGGATTGGATCGTGCTTATGGAGTCGATGCAGACGAGCATCGCCGTGTGAGCTTGGCCCACACATCGTTTTCCAAACTGCGTCATCTCTGGAGGTCTCGTGAGATCTCACTGAAGACGAAATTGAGGATGCTGTTGTCCTGTGTGGCGGCTGTTCTGCTGTACAGCAGTGAAACATGGACCGTTCAGTATCCCCATCACCGTCCTTTGCACTCCACTTGGATGACGTTTGTGATACGAGCGCAGCGACTCAGATACAGCGATATGCAGGCTCTTCGACTCGATAGTGAAGCTGTTTTGAAGCGGCTTGGGAAGCCGAGTGTTTTCACTTTGCTCGGTCGTCGTAGTGCGCAGTGGCTGGGGCATGTGGCGAGACTTAGTCCGTGCAGACCAACCAGCTCATGCCGTTCTGTTTGGCCCCATTCCTGCCAGAGCTTTTGCTTCTGCTGGTGAGAGAGGAGCCCACTGTCATCACTACACTGGCCGCGCCAAGATGGTGCTGCAGACTCTCGCAGTCGACAGCTCGCAGCTCTGGTCTCGCAAGGCTCAAGAGAGTGGCTTGGCATTATGCTGTGAAGCGGATTAAGATTGCAGCGCTGGGTCGTCACGCTCCTCCTGCTGATCGAGCCAGGGTGCATGCGCATGGTGGAGTTGCTCTTCGGGTGGTTGCTTTTCAGTGTCCGATTTGTCCGTACAGAGGTCGCAACTCGCAGGGTTTGTCGCGCCACTTGAATCTTGTGCGCCCAGTTGTTCGTGATGTCTACAGATGTCCCACTGCAACAAAGCTTACCGGCACAAAGGCTACTTCACGACGCACATCCGTGGATGTCAAGCCCGGCACTTGCCTGCCCCACCGGCTACGGCAGTGCCGCGTGAAGCTGGAGCTCGCACCGATGCAGCTATAGGCTGTTTGTATGTTTTGATGCAGTTTGCGGCATGACGTTTACGACAGCTATAGTCAGCTGCTGCGCCGTACGAGCAAAATCTTGGCAGGCCCAACTCTGGAGCGGTGCTGCGTGCAGGCCGCTACAAGCTGCCGTGCTTTCAGTGTGGGCAGGGGTTTGATAGCTCGCGGGCCTTAGGCGCATCCACAAACGTCTCAATCATTGATCCCACGCTGTTTTCATTTTCTGCTTAGTCGGCTCATGACATTCGCATATCGTGCAGTGTGAGAAATGAGTGCTGAGTGTGAGGAGGCATCGCCTTCACGTGATGAGGGCAAGCCCGCCCTGCACAGACAGCCCGGCATGCTCCAGCAGCAGGGCGCGGCTGAGCACATTTACTGATGACAGGCGTTGGGATCGCAGGCTAGTAGTTTCTCAGCACTTCGGAGGTTCAGCCATGGCCAGTGTGCAGTCTTCTTTTCAGAGCCTCCAAACACGCCTGCGTCGACAGCTACAGGCAGCCCAGTCCACAAGCGTGCTCGCAGGGATGGCGCCAGCGCCATTGATTAGGATGCTAGTGCACCTGTACAGCCTCCGCAGTCGAGCCGTGATCGTGCTGACCAAGCTCGCAAGCCTCTGGGTGCTGTTACAAACGCTGAACTCACTGCGGCGTTCGTCAGCAGCAAGGGCAGCTGGATATGCCCCAACTGCAGTGCGCTGCAGTTTTCGCTTTGCTGCTGACAGCGTCTTTGCCTTGCAGCTCCTACAAATAGTGTCCCAGTGGAAGGAGTCTCACCGACCTGGTCGTCCTCACCCGCTCGGAGCCGGTTCGACAGCGGTTGCGCATGCGATGCTCCTGGGCATCTCCACAACGAAGACTCCTCCATCGTGCAATGCGGACGCGTCGGTTGCTCGTGAGTTCAGTCATTGCAGTGCTCAGTGCTCGGCTTCCTGCGAAGAAAGAGCATATCATCTTGGACATTGCAGACCTGCAGTACATGGCCGAATCTTTCCAGACTACAACGTATTATGTCAATTCTTGGAGTCGTTCGACGCTGAACGCTTGGATCGAAAGCCAGCTGACTCCCTTCTCCGCAAGGTGAGGCAGCAGCAGTAAGATGCTGGTATTTTCTGTGGATCTCACCCTTTGCTGTTTTGGGAGCGTGACTACAGCGACAATCTGTTCATCATGTCTTCCTGGTTTACCATGCAGTGCACTACGATGGCCGCTCCGTTCGTTTCCCCTCCAGTGGATGATGGTCATAATGTTTTCTCACTACTTTTCGTACAGAGTGTTGATGGCGCACTATGCTCATTTGTGGGCGAAGTGCTCTTCGTCGTCGTCGACAATGGGATACATCACTCTCGAGCGATTCCGCTCGCAGTTAGTTTCCAAGCCAGAATGTTTATGTTTTGAAACATGCAGTCGACGCCTTGAGCCATGTTTTTGTGTGCCTGTAAGATACAGATGGTTTTTTGGGAGGTTGGCCGCTTGGCTGATATATGGTGTGTTGAGTGCATGCAGTCGCCAGGAATAGGCGGCTGAACCAAGCACCTTACTAATTATCTATCTATCTTGAATAATGCGTTGCTCGTGGGGACGCGATTCAGTCTTCCGAACAAACTTCGCTCGACCCGAGATCCGAACACAAATCAACGAGTGCGGGCTCCCGGACACTTCTTTTTTAAACTGGAATGCGGAGACCTGTCGTTCGCAGTGTCGAGAGCCCTTCAGGCAGGCCTCGGCGCACACATTAACCGGAGCAATCGTGAGCGCCGCGAGGCCGACGAGGGGAACCAACTTACAGTTGTTGTGCATCGGATGGCAGAGGAACAGAATCGTAGAAATCGTCGAACAAATGAGGCCAATCGGAATCAGAATCAACACCAGGTTAACCGGGGCCGTGGCGGAGGAGGAGCGCGCTGCGGAAGGGGCCGTTGTGGTAGGGGCATGCGCTAGAGGCCCCTAGAATGTCCAGGCATGTTGAGAATGCCGCGCCGTTTCAGGTCGTATTGTTGTTTTTTGTGTTCGCAGGTAGAGATATAGTATAGGCAATTAGTCGTTCGTAAAAGGTTTTTGAGCCAGAAAGCTTGTATGATGCAACATGCAGACGACGCCTTGAGCCATGTTTTGTGCTTGTAGATGCAGATGTTTTTCTGGGAGGTGGGCCGCTTGGCTGATATACGGCGTGTTGAGTGCATGCAGTCGCCAGGAACAGGCGGCTGAACCAAACACTTTACTGTCTATCTGTTTATCTATCTTGAATAATGCGTTTGTTGTTGATCGCATGTAGTTGGTGTTGCTCACAGGAGATGCTTGACAAGGTATCTGCTCTGACTCTTTTTACACTTATGTGTTGCAAGTGTATTTCTCTTGTTACTTGCTAAGGATCACCGGCAAGTTCCCTGGTTACTTGTCACCATCAGCAGGCCTGAAATTCGCTGATGTGCCCAACGGCCTGGCAGCTATCTCGAAGGTGCCTGCCGCAGGATGGGGACAAATCCTTGCCTACATGGCCTTCTGCGAGGTTTCCCAGGACCAGTCTCCCGGCACCCCAGCCGCAGCGGGCGACTTCGGCTTCAAGGTCTTGACGTCCAGCGACCCTGCTGAGAAGACGAAGAAGCTTTCGGCGGAGTTGGCTAACGGAAGGCTTGCGATGATGGCCATCATCGGCATGTTCTTTCAGGTGGGGGTATCTTCTCGTTGTTGCTTTTAGAAAGCTTCCGATGAGTGTGCAGCTTGTTTTTTTTTCGTAAGTTGTGGCTGTCCTGTCTTTCACAGGATGGTCTGACGGGAAGCGCCTGGGGTGACTGGGCCAACTACACCGCATCGCCTTTGCGTGCGTTCGAGAATGAGCTCGGTGTGCAGGACCCAGTTGGATTTTGGGATCCAGCAGGCTTCACCGCCGATGGTAGCGTGGAGAACTTCAAGCGACGCCGCCAGACCGAGCTGAAGCACGGACGCATCTCAATGCTTGCGACAATGGGTTACATCACTCCCGAGCGACTTGGTTGAATAACATGTTTGTTGTTGATGGCGTGTATTTGGTGTTGCTTACGGCGAGATGCTTGACAAGACATCTGCTCTTTTCACACATGTGTTGCAAGTGCATTTGTCCTGTTTACTTGCTAAGACTTGCCAAGGATCACCGGCAAGTTCCCTGGTTACTTGTCACCATCAGCAGGCCTGAAATTCGCTGATGTTCCCAACGGCCTGGCAGCTATCTCGAAGGTGCCTGCCGCAGGATGGGGACAAATCCTTGCCTACATGGCCTTCTGCGAGGTTTCCCAGGACCAGTCTCCCGGCACCCCAGCCGCAGCGGGCGACTTCGGCTTCAAGGTCTTGACGTCCAGCGACCCTGCTGAGAAGACGAAGAAGCTTTCGGCGGAGTTGGCTAACGGAAGGCTTGCGATGATGGCCATCATCGGCATGTTCTTTCAGGTGGGGGTATCTTCTCGTTGTTGCTTTTAGAAAGCTTCCGATGAGTGCGAGCTTGGTTGGTTTTTGTGGTAAGTTGTGGCTGCCCTGTCTTTCACAGGATGGTCTGACGGGAAGCGCCTGGGGTGACTGGGCCAACTACACCGCATCGCCTTTGCGTGCGTTCGAGAATGAGCTCGGTGTGCAGGACCCAGTTGGATTTTGGGATCCAGCAGGCTTCACCGCCGATGGTAGCGTGGAGAACTTCAAGCGACGCCGCCAGACCGAGCTGAAGCACGGACGCATCTCAATGCTTGCGACAATGGGTTACATCACTCCCGAGCGACTTGGTTGAATAACATGTTTGTTGTTGATGGCGTGTATTTGGTGTTGCTTACGGCGAGATGCTTGACAAGACATCTGCTCTTTTCACACATGTGTTGCAAGTGCATTTGTCCTGTTTACTTGCTAAGACTTGCCAAGGATCACCGGCAAGTTCCCTGGTTACTTGTCACCATCAGCAGGCCTGAAATTCGCTGATGTGCCCAACGGCCTGGCAGCTATCTCGAAGGTGCCTGCCGCAGGATGGGGACAAATCCTTGCCTACATGGCCTTCTGCGAGGTTTCCCAGGACCAGTCTCCCGGCACCCCAGCCGCAGCAGGCGACTTCGGCTTCAAGGTCTTGACGTCCAGCGACCCTGCTGAGAAGACGAAGAAGCTTTCGGCGGAGTTGGCTAACGGAAGGCTTGCGATGATGGCCATCATCGGCATGTTCTTTCAGGTGGGGGTATCTTCTCGTTGTTGCTTCTAGAAAGCTTCCGATGAGTGTGCAGCTTGGTTTTTTTTCGTAAGTTGTGGCTGTCCTGTCTTTCACAGGATGGTCTGACGGGAAGCGCCTGGGGTGACTGGGCCAACTACACCGCATCGCCTTTGCGTGCGTTCGAGAATGAGCTCGGTGTGCAGGACCCAGTTGGATTTTGGGATCCAGCAGGCTTCACCGCCGATGGTAGCGTGGAGAACTTCAAGCGACGCCGCCAGACCGAGCTGAAGCACGGACGCATCTCAATGCTTGCGACAATGGGTTACATCACTCCCGAGCGACTCGGTTGAATAACATGTTTGTTGTTGATGGCGTGTATTTGGTGTTGCTTACGGCGAGATGCTTGACAAGACATCTGCTCTTTTCACACATGTGTTGCAAGTGCATTTGTCCTGTTTACTTGCTAAGACTTGCCAAGGATCACCGGCAAGTTCCCTGGTTACTTGTCACCATCAGCAGGCCTGAAATTCGCTGATGTGCCCAACGGCCTGGCAGCTATCTCGAAGGTGCCTGCCGCAGGATGGGGACAAATCCTTGCCTACATGGCCTTCTGCGAGGTTTCCCAGGACCAGTCTCCCGGCACCCCCGCCGCAGCGGGTGACTTCGGCTTCAAGGTCTTGACGTCCAGCGACCCTGCTGAGAAGACGAAGAAGCTTTCGGCGGAGTTGGCTAACGGAAGGCTTGCGATGATGGCCATCATCGGCATGTTCTTTCAGGTGGGGGTATCTTCTCGTTGTTGCTTTTAGAAAGCTTCCGATGAGTGTGCAGCTTGGTTTTTTTTCGTAGTTGTGGCTGTCCTGTCTTTCACAGGATGGTCTGACGGGAAGCGCCTGGGGTGACTGGGCCAACTACACCGCATCGCCTTTGCGTGCGTTCGAGAATGAGCTCGGTGTGCAGGACCCAGTTGGATTTTGGGATCCAGCAGGCTTCACCGCCGATGGTAGCGTGGAGAACTTCAAGCGACGCCGCCAGACCGAGCTGAAGCACGGACGCATCTCAATGCTTGCGACAATGGGTTACATCACTCCCGAGCGACTTGGTTGAATAACATGTTTGTTGTTGATGGCGTGTATTTGGTGTTGCTTACGGCGAGATGCTTGACAAGACATCTGCTCTTTTCACACATGTGTTGCAAGTGCATTTGTCCTGTTTACTTGCTAAGACTTGCCAAGGATCACCGGCAAGTTCCCTGGTTACTTGTCACCATCAGCAGGCCTGAAATTCGCTGATGTGCCCAACGGCCTGGCAGCTATCTCGAAGGTGCCTGCCGCAGGATGGGGACAAATCCTTGCCTACATGGCCTTCTGCGAGGTTTCCCAGGACCAGTCTCCCGGCACCCCAGCCGCAGCGGGCGACTTCGGCTTCAAGGTCTTGACGTCCAGCGACCCTGCTGAGAAGACGAAGAAGCTTTCGGCGGAGTTGGCTAACGGAAGGCTTGCGATGATGGCCATCATCGGCATGTTCTTTCAGGCACGCATGGAGCAATACCCACGTAAGTTTGTCAAACGCATCAAACTGTCGTTGGCATGCTACATGTTGTTACACACGTGTCTCTCTCTCTCTCTCTCTCTCTCTCTCTCTCTCTCTCTTTCTATATATATATATACACACAATATTTACGTATGTACATACATAACATACATAACATACATATACATTCATACATGCCTACATGCATATATACACACACGCACACAGAGGATGGCCTCACCGGCAGCGCCTGGGGCGATTGGGCCAACTACACCGCGTCGCCCTTGCGCTGATGCTCTTGAGGCCGGAATTCGTCCCCCAGCAAAGACCATAACAGTTGAGGTACCTGATACGTGGGGTTTGTGTAGGTGAACGCACATATGTTTTTTGCAGCTTACGAATGCAGGCAGCTGGTTTTAGTTCATGATCGCCCTGGAAGTTGTCGAGTGGCACAAACAACCTTCAAGAGTCCATCTGCCACAATCCAAGCCAGCTGTAGATGTGACGACTAATCACATGGTCAGCTGTAGCTTACAGCAAGAAGCGTTACCTGCAGACAATCAGGGTGAGTCGTTCAAGAATTATACCACTTTGGGTATCTTTTGATCATAGGATCCACAAGTAGGTCGATGCAGTAGTTTTAACATGTGCACTTACACCAAAGAGTTTTCGTGAGGGGTTGGCGCAGTGCGTTCTGCTCAGAAATTAAACGTCCGTGGCTTCGTTTGGGACTTGATCATGCCGATGGGTTGTTTGCATATGTGCGCAGCTGTTTGCCTTGCGTGTTGAAAGCAGACATATGTGGACCGATGTCGTTTTGGGGAGCACGTTTTGCGTTGCTTTCCCTCGGATGTCAGTCCTCTGATGCGGACTAGTCTTTGCTTCGTGGCTGTGGCATTCGGACATGAAGACCCTTTGTTCGAGAGTGTCCGCAGTTTGGGATGTCCACCTTCTGACTCTAAAAAACCCGGTGGGTCCTTGTTCACCTCGAAAGGTTGTTCGCCCCGAAGGTCTCGAACTGCTAAATCGAGGCGCCGTATTGCAACGAACCTTTGGCAGTGGACGTGTTTCATCCTGCTGCGTGTAGTACTGTTTAATCCGATGTTTCCATGCAGGCCCCCTGTCGACCAAAAGCCTTGAAGTGCCAAAGTGATAGAGCTTTGAAGAGCTGGAAGCTTCCCCTCGTAGTCAGAACTTGTTGCATATATGTTTAGACGGGACCACAGAAGCCTATTCCAACTTTGCAGGCCTCGGAACTGGCTTTGGTCCTTGCTATAGATGCCAAACTGGTTCGTGCTTGCGCAGGATTTTTGTGAAGCTCGCGCCGTGCTTGTACAGCTTCGCCAGGGCCCGGGCCCTGGGAGAGTCCTTATCCGAAAAGCCCAAGTAATCGTATAGTACATATATGAATTGGGGGCCCAAATATCTCTTAAGTAGCTACCACATTGGCACTTGGACCCTTTGGGTTATCACAAGGATCGTCGTTGAGAAGGTCTTTTCAAAAACTGCTCGAGCCTGTAATGTAGTCGAGGCTTGAAAGATTCGTAAACTTCTTCCTCTGGGCTCTCCGATGTTATGTTTAGGTGCTTTGTCTTACGTTTCGTTTGTCGGAATGCACTTAGGTTTCGGGCAAGCCGAGAGCCTACACCCAAAAACGGAACGTGATGCGAGGAGCCTGCGATTCTGCGAATGAAGAACAGCTCAACAAGCAAAGCTTCAGCACTTTGCGAGCCAGAGGCCGTCGCTGCACTCTCCAGACTGCAGGCTTGAACAGTGCAGGCCCCGGCGCACGACCAGATGTTGGCACAGCCGCGAGAAAGAGAGCAGGTTGAACCGGTGCATCGATTTAATAGGGTGTGCTCTGTGGTTGAGGAGATATGTCGAGGTGTTGAACTCGATGTTGCAGACAGGTTGCAGCTCGTTTGCTTTGAAGGCAACTCTGCACACGGCACGAGCTGACGACTACAGGTGACGTCTACTTCTGTAGACGACTGCATCCGGTCATCCTTGACCGAAAAGCCCAGATTCGAATTATGCCACATACTTCCATGGTATAGACCCTGTAGCCAGTCGCAGCCCAGATTGATCATCGGCTTCTGAAATTGTTCCCATGTATCTTCCAAAACTCAAAGTTCAGATCATTAGGTTGGGCATTTTCCATGTACAGAGGTCCATGTATTTGACTTCGACCTTGTAGCAACCCAACACAGTAAAGCTTGAAGTTTTCCCCGCTTGCCCCACGCTTGCAACATCCACACTCAATGCGCCGTTGTGCTCAAGCCGGGAAGCATTGCAGAGTGCAAAGACCTTGGGCGCGGGAGCCCAGTTGCGGCAGGAAAGTGTGTGTTGTTTTGATCATTTAACTGGTGGCAGAGTGCTTCGATTATGTTACTCATTTCCAACAAATTCTTGTCTCTGTCTTTCGTGTGGGGTTCTCTGCACGTTCCTTCATGTGAAGTGCATGAGCGGAAATACAGCCACAACATGCCATAACGCGTTGCCGTCTAGCCTGGACTTCTTGTCCCTTTCGCTGTCACCCAATGTGGTTGATTGTCATCCTGAGCTTAAGTAAACACGGTGTTTGAACCCTGATGACAGCCTACTCTTGCCGTTCTGACTCATCCCTCGTTGCATAAACGACAGGATGAGAAACACGGTAGCAAAAGCGGAGGGGCCGTACTTTACAAGGCATGATACTTGTAGTGAGCCCTCAACCGAAGCTCACCGCGTCACAGAGCGTCGGCGCATCGTCTCACTCCTATCAAATCGCCAGCCCATGTCCCGAATGTTGAAACCTGCCCGTACCTGCCTGTGCAGGTTCGGGACATCCCTCAGAGGCTTTGCACATCTTTTAATCCACCTGCCTGCTTTGCTTCCGCCCGGTGGCCCAGATTTGGTGGAAAGGATTTGATTGGAGAAAGCCCTTCCACAGAGATCCGTATGGTGCTACAGGTTTGCATTGGCGCTACGGTGGGTTCCTGTGTCATCGGACTGAACTAGCGGCGCGGGTTCATGGTGCAGCCCCCAAAAAAAGTGTCAACAGAGTTTTGGTGGGGGAATTAGGTTGGACTGTAAGAGTAGGGGGGACTCATCCTGCATTGCAGGTTTCAGGATTTTAGGAGGCAGCTCAGCTGTTTCGAAGGCTTCGCCTTGGAACTCTTCCGTCAAAACAGATGCGTATGCCCAAGCAGATCCTGTAGACAGGATGCCTTTGGGCCCGGAAGAAGCCAGGAAGGGCGCCATCGTCAGACATTCGGGATCAGTTGACAATCATCAGAACACCTTACGGGAACCCTGATTCAGAACGATTGCCGCGCACAGATGGCTTCGAACGGCCGCGCTGTGACTGTCGCGATGGGCGCTGCAGGCTCGTCTGAGCAGTGGGCTGGGCACTAACCCCAAAGAGTTCCAAACAGAAACGTTCTCCAACTGGACATCTTTCAAGCCAAGAGTCTGGAACAGTCTGGAACCAAGCACCACATCCGATGGAGGCGCCGTCGCTTTGTGCAGCACAGCCTTCGTGGCGCCCACGGCGCAGACGAAGAGTCTCCGCGCCACTAGGGTAGCAGAGGCACGGGCGAGTGCTTTGCAGAACACCTCGCGTAGAACAGCGCCAATCTCCGGCGCATGCATTCCTTCACGTCCCCGCGAGCTCCCAGCTTGTCCGGTGAAAGGAACACAGATTGCACTTTCGTGCCTTAACTTCGGAGACCCCCAAGCCCGGTGATCAGCAAGGAGAGCTCAAAGGGCTTGCCGTTGTTAGCTCCGGTCAGTTGATGTCTTTCGCTTCAGCCAAGCTCCTGGGCGGGGCAACCTCATTCTAATCCGAAGCGGACTTACCCAGCTCCCTGACTTCATTTCCCTGAATCTCTGGAGGCAGGTTGCCTTTCTTCCGAAGTCTGAAGCCCTGTCAATCCAATAAACTCCAAATCCCTCAACGGCCCTACAAACGCCCTGAAGCCTCCACTCGTCAACCCCTGAAGCCCGCACTCAGGCTGCCTCAGTCCAGCCGGCCGTTAGAGCCAGCAGCAGCAGCGCCCGGATCCTGGTCCCGGTTCAGGAAATGGCGGGCTTGTGGGATTCCTGGCTCCTGCCCTCGGATTTGTGGGGTCCGTCGTTTGGTTTCGTGTGGGGCCCATGCATACTTAAGGCCTCCAGTTGTGCGCCTTTATGCCCCACAAGCCCTCGCAATATTTCGCAATGGTCGCTTCCTGAACGAATGTATTTTTGATTGGAGGGGAGGAGCTTCTTGATAGGAAGCTGCGGTAAGGACCGTATAGTGCGGCAAGATCTGTAAGCCCGTCTACAGACCTTGCGCTGTACTGGTTGGATTTACAGGCGTGAGGGAAATGCTTCCGCTCACGTACTGGCAGGATTTAAATTTGAGAGTGCAACGCCCTGGTGGCGTGTATTTCTCGGTAATTTAGAGGTTTTCACACGAGTTTATGCACCCAGAATATTAAGCGTTGTGTTGCCTCATCCAGGCATGCACCCTTGATTTTGAGTCTTGGGCATGTCACGAAGTAGGAGTTTGTTGGGGAAGAGGGAGGAGGTTTGCCATCCAGCATCTCCATTGAAGTTGAGGTGCGTGATCTGGCATATCATGTCAAAATCATTAAGAATCCATCACAACCCCTGGGTGTCTATCCACATATGCATCTGGCTTTAATGGATGCGTGTTTATGGAAATGTGTATATTTACATGTGCATACGAATGCTGACCTGTAACTTAATGTATATATCATGTCTTCAACTAGGGATTGAAATTGTGGCGTGGGCTGCAGCATAAAAGCGACTATATTGACAGGCAGACCGTCATCGATGTGTATATACAACCGCATCTGAAGCCGTGGCTACACTTATAAAGCTCTGAGGGGTTTGCCACCTTTGAAGGTTTGCTACCCCGTCATCTACTATTGAAGCCTTGGATTGAGAGTGCAATATCTTCTAGTCTGCCTGTATTTGGGAAAACAGTCATCGATTTGAGGATCCAGTTGTGG